TGTTTCAGCAGGCAGGACTGGCCTAGGGACATTTTAAATTGGTTTTTAATTAATTTTTAAATAAGAATAGGCCTATTGGATATATCTTTTAATTGATTTTAAATTTTGTAGATTTGTATCGATTGTTTTGTTTTAATTGGCTGTAAGCCGCCCTGAGTCCACTAGGAGAAGGGCGGGATATAAATGCAATAAACTTGAACTTGAAACTTGAACTCTCTGCCCCCCCACCAGTCCGCAAAGCTGGAAACGTTGGGGAACTCTGCTTTGGAATACATAATAAGTGGAGGCAATTATTATACCATAGGCTACGATACATTTAAATATAAAGTTGTAATTTTGGAAGAGGGTATAATTGTACTGTTTTTATCATCTTAGGGCTCAGGATATCCATGGCTAATATTTAAATAGTATGCATGTCAAAACAGGTTCCTGAATTCACCTTATTACACCCTAGCTCAGTGATGGTGAACCTTTTAGAGACCGAGTGCCCAAAACCCGCCCCCGCTCCGCCTCTCGCCTTGCCTGCTCCGCCCCACCTGCCCCTTGCTCTGCCTGCCCACAGGGCCATGCACTGCCTCAATGGCCCACCCTAGCAGATCACCCAGGCAGCCCTGCAGCGCCATGGCAGCCACACCCTCCGCCCACACCCCGCAGCATCATCTGCACGCTATGGAGCACGAGGGCAGAGTCTTGTCCCTGCTGCCCGGCTATGTCCTTGGCTGCGCTGCTCCATGCAGGCCGCGCCTGGGGGCAACTCTCCTCCAGGGGGGCTTCTGGAGAGGAAGGGGCCGCAGGGAAAGACGGGGCTGGGGCAATGGCACGTGTGCCCACAGAGAGAGCTCCGAGTGCCACCTCTGGCACGTGTGCCATAGGTTCGCCACTACTGCCCTAGCTTGACACCACAGTCAAACACTATCCTCACTGTGAATATCTGCCGCTCAGTGTGGCTTCCTTACTCTGCTTGTAGAGGAAGCCCTATTTTTTTCCTATACTTGTCATTGATAGATGTACAACCCAGTTAGTTGGTGTAAAGCTAGTTCGCCTCCCGCAGTGCGCCAAGGATAGATGCCTAAGCACTGAACAAAATGAAGTAGCGTTCTAGGCTGTCAGGACTGCATTGTGTGTGTCTAGCGTATGTAGATTTCCTTGACAATTGTATGCCATGTGCTAAATAAATACAACCCATGAAAAGTTTACAAATTAAGGAAATAATTAACCATCTCTAAGGGTGCTGGACTACACTTTTTCTTTTAAAATATGGATCAGTTTCTCCATTATTTTAATCACCTTCACGTTCACTTGAAACCCCCCCCCACTATAAAACTGTTTATTTTGCAATGTGTCGGGATGCTAGATCAGATCTTGGTACAGGTAATGCCTTTTCGCTCCTTTGTTGACTCCCTACCTTGAAATTTAGATGCTAGTGTTTTTGTTTTTGTTTAATTTCTTTTTTTCCTAGGAGAGTGTGCAAGATTTAAGGAAGAGGATTACTGTCCTTGATTGTCAATTAAGAAAATCTGAAACAGCCAAGAAGACCTTTGAGGTGGCAACTGAAAAATTGCTAGAATTTGTTGAGGTAACGGCGAATTCAAATATTTTTCCTTCAAGGGACTAGAGTATGTTGATTATATTAATTATTAAAAAGATGTGTTGTTAAAAGTTGTTTAATTGCACTATTATTATTAATGGGTTGAAAACCTATTCTTCTTTTCAGTAAAAAAAAAAAACCTAAAAATTCAGAAAGCAGAACTAGAACATCTCTGAGAAAGTAAGTCCCTTTGTGAACAGACAAATCTCTGTTCAGGAGCCTGATGCTATGCAAGGATATCAAATATTTTATATAACTCAGCTATTGCTGCAAATCTAGGATTTGTAATTCAAAGATCACAGAATTCTAAAACTAGATTTTTCACATTAGAACTTTCTAGATTGTCTCAGAAACTCAAATAAGACTTCATTGAATGTTTTTCTGATTATTAACTCAATGTTTAATAATAAGATATGTCCTTGCTTTGGCTTTTACTTCGTTATTGTTAGTTTTTAACTTGTTTAGTGGTACAATCCATGATGCCAACTCTAAAGGGATGTAGCTAATGCTGTTGGGTTCCCTTTCCAGTCTGCCTTCTGTATTAATCATAGTTGCTTTTCTAGCAGATCACCAGGGAAGGAAGAAGAATCCCTGACATTTGTTTTCTTCTGCCCCTTAAGAAATTCTCAAAGATGTTCATTAACAATACTGTTTTTGCCATCTCCAGTATCCCCTCTCTCTTGTTCTTACATGATTATGTCTTACAGCTTCACATCGATATAGAAGCTTGGGGCAATGTATTTGGTCACTAGATTATTGTTCAAATCATATGAGGCTAGAAGGAGTTCTTGTTTCTTCCCTTTTTGATTGGATCTCTTAGATTCTGTCTTAAAAATATATTCATAGGACATTATTTAGATAACACATGGGGATAATTTTCATTAAACCTCTTCCCTACTTTTATTCCCATAATTTGAACAGTGGACTAGAGATATCTCAAGGCATTCTTCTAATAATAGCAATAGCACATAGACTAACAGCCCTCTCTAAGCGGTTTACAGAGTCAGCCTAATCCCTCCAACAATCTGGGTCTTCATTTTACCAACTTCAGAAGGATGGAAGGCTGAGTCAACCTTGAGCCGGTCAGGATCAGACTCTTGGCAGTGAGCAGAGTCAGCCTGTCATACTGCACTCTAACTACTGCGCTACCCCGGTTCTAGATGCCACGGTGTAGGACGAAACAGAAGTTGGCAGAAGCAGCTTGAGAGAGGGGTGATCTTGTCCATATCTCACAAAGCCAAGCCTGTCTCCAACCTTAGCTTTTAAGCAACACTACTGTTAGGATTGTTGGTAGATTACAGCATACCAGCTGCAGATTGGATGCTGATTTGCTTGCCTCGCTACCTTTCCTGATAACAAGAGCAGGGAATTCATGGGCACTTGAATGATAAGACTGCTAACTGCTACGGTGATAGCAACTGAAAGAATCAAGAATCATTAAGAAGGGTATTAACGGCTGTTGATTTCAGAAGGGTGTAAATTGTTGCCAGCAAAGCTAACGTACCTTAAGAGACAGGTATATAAAGCTCTTAAGAGACAGGTATATAAAGCTGTGTGGTTTCAAAATGCACACTTGGGGGACTGATGATTATATAACCAGTGAAAGAGAAAGCCATGCTATTTTGCTTTTGGAAATTGTTGTTTTATTTCTTTTTCACTAAAGATGGTAAACGGACATCTGACATGGGCTTTATGATAATGTACCGTCATCGGGAGGTCAGTGAAATTCCATTCTTTACACACGACAACTTTAAAAGAACTTAATTATGAAATTGAGACCCGTTTCTTAGGTTCTTGACTAAGAATTTGAAACCATGATAAACGAATGTTTAGGGTATGTCTTGTAAAAACGTCTTTTTTTTAAAAATTAGCTTTATAATGTTGAAACCCAGAAGATTCTGTTTGACGAAACAAGTAGTCTTATTTTGAGACAGATAGAGAGAATTGACTCCATAGAAATATCAGATTTGCCAAGGCTAAACAACTGAATTTGTTACACAAAATCCTGTTGAAAATTGTTTTTAGGAATTTTGAGAATAGAATCAGATTTTGGGGGTTAGAATCTATCAGAATACTAAATACAATCCACCTTCCCTTAAGCTTTCAGAGCAGAGAGATGTGGATACAATATAACATTAGAATCATGTTTCCATCTATACAATTATACGTGACTTCTACCTAATCAATAATCTTTCTCACGTATTGATGTGGATCGCTGTCTTGTTGATTTATAGCTCTCAGTCTTCTGTTGCAATTTAATGCAATTGTTCATTTATTATTCACTCTCCTTTTGGCCAACAGACCTATCAAGCCCAATAAATACAATTCTGGTTTAATCATAATATTATGTTAATCCACAGTGTATTAATTTGCACCCAAATTCCTTTGCTTTTTCACAAGTCCCCCTTGAAAGGTGAATGGTAAAAAGTCCCCTCTTCATCTTCACACTTCCAAGGCTTACTTGATATTCTTTTATACATTTTAGACTGTAAATCAGGTCATAGACTGTAAATCATTGGTGCATTATTTTATAATATTGCTCTCTTAAATTAGGACACAATGTGAAAACATCAGTTTCTCACATTTTTGCCATATATCCATATTTATAAAATAGCCAAAGTGTGTAGTCCACTTCACCATGCAGTGTTTAACCTCTTTGTCCTCTATTTCAAAAAATGGTGTTAATTTATATTGAGAAATATTACAAGTCAAAATAAAGTGTTCTGGTAAATCAATCCTTGACTACTCTAGATATAGATGAAAATGAAAATGCATTTAGTGACCTAAACCAGGGCTGTGGGCCATGACGCAATACTGGGCCTTGAGCTGTTCGGAACCGGGCTGCGGAGGTGGCGGGCGAGTGCATGCCCGCTGCTTACACAAACCCATGCTATCTCCCTCCCCCCTTCCACCAGTCCACAAAGGCAGAAAGGTTGGGACCTCTGATCTAAACAAAATATTGCAACAGTGTAAAGAAAATGCTTTGTTCTTTTTTTTCTGATCATTTTATCCAGTGACAGGAAAGCCACAATCTCTTCAAAAATGCTCCTTGCACATCTGGGACGGAATGGCCACACTCTTGCGGCATCTCTTGCAACAGAAGCCAAAGAACTTGCTAGATCTGTCCGGTCCATTCTAGAAGCAGATTGTGAGTTTTATCAGATTGCTCTTCTTTTTCTACCCTCTATTTTTTTTTTCTATCTTACTGCTTTTCTCTTGTTCTTTTTTAAATGTCCCTAAAAAAGAATATTTGACATATTTTGGGTTGTGCCATGAATTCATTGTGTGGTTTGTCAAAAGAAAGGAAAATAACCATCCGTGAAATGTTCAAATGGTGACAGATGTAATAATTCAGATCAACTGTACGATATGTACTTGGGACTTTCGAACTACATAATTGAGAAAAATAGTTGGGGTATGGATTCTTGGTCTATAATTATACCTATTCTTGTTTAACTGCAAATATGCAAAGCAAAAACTAAAAAGAGCAAATTGTGATTCAAATAGATGAAGCTTTCAAATTACGTGCTAATTATCCCAAATGTTGTTTCTGCTGGTAGGATAACATACATAGGAAGTAATCACATCTTCATAGTAAGCAGAACTTTAAAAAAAAGAGTTATATTTAAATGTACTGCATGGATGGAATTTATAACAAGGCCATTCTAAAAGTTACTGAGGGGTCATTTGCTATTTCTTCAAGAAGACACATGACCCCGGTTGGCTAAATAGTTATTAGAGAAACTGCTTCTGAATTTGTATACAGGTAGTCCTTGGAGCCTGCCCATTACCATCATAAGCCAGGATGGTCATAAAACAGAACCCACCTGACTTTACAATCTTTTTTGCCATCATAAAGCAGATGTTGCGGTTGTTAAGCAAACTGATCGTTCACTATAGGCTGGTTTTGCCAAAAACTGGAAGTAAAACGTTGTCACGTGACTGTGGGATGCTGCAAACGGCTGTAAATGCAGGCCATTGCCAGACACCCAAAATTCAGTCCCCATGACTGAATGGGGAGCCCAATCATCAGAACTTTAGAACCAGGTTATAAGAACCCCCAGGGCAGTCTGTCATAACTTCTAACAGTAATTAAGCAAATGGTTATAAGTCGAGGTATGTTAGTGCTATTCACTTAGTTACATAGTGAGTTACAGAACCAGTCATCTGTAGCTAACAATAATCCTTCCTTTGAAGCATACTTGCACAGATCTGATCCTATCCTATCCTTCTCCACTGTGCCTACAAAAAAGTGTTTAGACTTTTTTCTTCAGATTCAGATTAATCAGTTGGTCTTGCTTTCTGTGAATAACACATTCAGGTTAAATTTAAATGTGATATGCTAACTTACAACCATAGGCTATGTGTTGAATCAAACTATGGTTAAGGATTCAAATGATGCTACAGTTTGACATATTATAATTGGAAATAATTTCCAATTATTACTGTACAGGAAAGAATCTTATAGTAACATAGATTTACTGTGTTGATCCCTTAACTATGGGATATTTAGTTTTTCCAGCCACTGTTGTTCTATAAACCAATTACAATTAATATTTTACTTAATGAAGAATGGCAATATATTCAGTGTGAAGGAAGCATGTATTTAACAATACACACTTTTCCTTGGCAACTGTCTAAATATAAACCATCCTTTGTTTTGTTTTTAGTACTGTAGAAGATGCTATATTTGCACAGGCATTTATAAGGAAGGAATTAAAGATCTGTTTTATTAGCCAAATTATTCTGGAGGAATATGCTTAATGATTAGCATCATAAATATTTTTCTATATTTTTATTTTGGAAGTTATTTATATGTTGGACATTCTTACATACCTTGTTTAGGAATTGCTTATAATCTGAATTTGTGATGACCACAGTTTCAGAAAAGGAATAATTCACCTTTTAAATTTGTGTAATCCTAACACACATACAGACACACGCTGTCATAGTCATCCTTGATATAATAATAAAATTAATTATCTATTCCCTTTCGGTCTGGAAAGTGTTGTTAATGGTATTCAGATTTTAGAATCAAATGGGAAAAATAATAATTGACCTTGCTGATGAAAGGAGCAAGGATTTTCTAACTCAAACAAGACCATTTAATTTATTATTCAAAGTATTTATGGAATACTGATAGTGCTGCCAAAAGGTTAAATGCTTCTTCTTTCAAATGTATATTGCAGTGCTCTGAATTAAAACTAGATCAAAGCAAATTGCAAAACAGCTATACTTCTATAAGAAAATGTCATAGAGGACTCACTGAAATAATAGTCAATTTAAGACAGTATCGCCTATATCTTTTTATCATGGCAGAGTGACTGCAAAGTGAATATTATGTAGGACACTGGATTTCATGGCTCTATAATGACAAGCATTTTAATTTGGCCCAAACCTTTTAGATTAACCTGAAAAGGCTGTTTTGTACACACTGTCTAGGTGTAACTTCTGTCCATTTCCCACAATTATCCTGATTGAAAGGAATATGGAATATGTAAGATATAGTAGGGCCTCAATGTAAAAACATTTAGGACAAATTTAGGACAATTTTTTCTTTCCTGATTTCCAAAGATGCTATAAATGTAGACAAAAGGGATATAAAAACCTTACAATATAAACTTTTCATGGGTCTCAGTACCTCTGTTCACTATCATAGGTATATAGGGTAATGTCTAAAACAGTGGTTCTCAACCTTTTTAATGCCGCGACCCCAACCGGTCGTAAGTCGAGGACTAAACCAGTCGTAAGTCGAGGACTAAACCGGTCGTAAGTCGAGGACTAAGCCGGTCGTAAGTCAAGGACTACCCAACCGGTCGTAAGTCGAGGACTTTCCCTGCCCGGGAGCGCCGCGCATGTGTGGTTCCGCCCCCTGCGCCGGCTGAGGCGTAGCTGGCAAGCAGCAGAGACGGAGCAGGCCGACCACCAGCTGGCCCAGCCCAAGGGAGGTAAGGCACCCGCCGGAAAAGGGGGAAAAAATGGCGGACAAAAAAAATGGCGGACAAAAAAAATGGCGGACAGCCTTGCTTGGCGACCCCCATGAAATGGTCGATCGACCCCAAATGGGGTCCCGACCCACAGGTTGAGAACCACTGGTCTAAAAGCTAGGAACAGTGAAACGTTTCATAATGTTCTACATGTTTATGACAGTATGCAGGGAATAATAATTCTACTCCTCCTGTTACCACATCCTAATAAGTAAGAGGAAAGTGGTTATGGAGAAAGCTTAGATTGGTTTGCATGCTGGCCTATCAATGCAAGCAACCTGAGCCACTTGTGAATAGTGAAAGCCAGTAACTTTATTGCTTACCAGCTATGTTACAAGAATCTCACCAGATTGCTTGTCTTCCGTGGGAACGACCAGATAAGGCTCATGGATCTTGGGGGAGGTGAAGCTTATGCACTTGTGGCTGTGCAAGGACTCCAAGCTAGGCCCTTGTTGATCCCTTAATAATAATAATAATAATAATGATGATGATGATGATGATGATGATGATGATGATGATGATGATGATGATGATGATGATAAAGTTGGAAGGGACCTTGGAGGTCATCTAGTCCAACCCCCTGCTCAGGCAGGAAACCCTATACCATTTTGGACAAATGGCTGTCCAGTTTCTTCTTAAAAACTTCCAGTGTTGGAGCATTCACCGCTTCTGGAGGCAGATTGTTCCACTGGTTAATTGTTCTGACCGTCAGGAAGTTTCTCCTGAGTTCTAGGTTGCTTCTCTCTTTGGTTAGCTTCCATCCGTTGCTCCTTGTCCTGCCTTCAGGCGCTTTGGAGAATAGCTTGACTCCCTCTTCTTTGTGGCAGCCCCTGAGATATTGGAACACTTACTTCCAGCTTAGCTGGCATTTTCCCAACATGGCCCCAGTTCAAACTTGGTTTATTTTTCTGAATCTTTGGAAAGTGATAGATTGAATACGTGCCATCAAGTCAGTTTTGATTCTTAGCGACCACATAGGTATATCTTCTCCAAGATGATCTACTCCCACCTTTGCTCTTCAGATCTTCCAATAGTGCACCACTCAAGTACAGGCACCTTGCTGCTGCTAATTGTCTTCTCTTTCTTTTCAAGGGAACTGAGCCTTTGCATAATGTGTCCAAAATACAATAAACCAAGCTAGCCATTTGTGCCTCAAATGAGAACTCTGGATTGGTTTGTTCTATTATCCATTCGTTAGTTTTCTTACTTTTCTATGTTATTCTCAAGAATACTAACAGCCTTAATATAGGTCCCTACATCATTTTCAGTGCTTCTACAGAGAGCTATCATTGACTTACGCATAACATGAACATCAGAGAACTTCAGAAGATGTCAAGAGAGCTTCAGTAAAATTGCTGTATGAGTCCACCTGTGGATCAGCTGACCCTTTAAATTTTTAACCAAAATACTATGAAAAATGCACCACCCTCGAATAAGCCAAATTGTATTTTTCCACAGTATTTTGGGTTAAAAATTCAAGGAGCTGCTTTATCTACAGCTGCTTGTATACAGATACATCAGAATATACAGGAAATATAGGTACGTATGTGTTACTGTATGTCCTTGCAAATAGGCCTTTCAGTGGATAAGCTAAACCTGATTTTTTAAATACATTTTGGCATCTAAAAGTCTTAGTTTATCTGTGTGTAGTATATACAGCAGTGAGATTTCTGAGCCATTTTTTTGTACGAGAGACTTTATTGGGGGGGGATGGGTTGGGAGGACTAAATTTATATCCACAAAGGAAAGTTTGAGAATTATGAAAAGCCAGAATACTTTAAGAATATGGTTGCATATAATGTTCTGCAAAAGCCAAACATTCTTTGCAACCAAAAACTGTAAACCATTGGTTATTAACATGGGTTCGTTACTTAGTTCTCATTTAATGTTCAACAGGGATTTTAAGGAGAAAAGATATAACACAATGTTGGTGATTGCAGGATTATAAAGCTATAATGTAACTAGATGACAATTCAGGTTTTTTGTGCCTTCCTTGGACTGTGCATGGGCAAGATTGGCAATAGCAATCACGTGGACAAAATGCCCCATATGCATACCTCTTTAGCTATTCTTCTATTTGGGCCTCATTATAAGTCAGTTCAAAATTTTGAAGCGCTACTATGTAAATATGTTTTTTTTCTGCTATACAGACATCAGTGAT